TTAAATCCACCTTAACGTTTGAAAGATTAAGGTTTGCTCTTTAACCGAGCTGGCGTCCATTTAAGTTAATATTTCCATCGAATTAAAGTTGAAGCTTTTATTCCTTTCTCGATTACAGCATCCCTCTTAAACATTTGAACTCTTACCAAAATCGCGACTCGGTCTGAGAGGTTGCAGTGGTTGTCAAGCTTACACTTTTCTACCGGGGAACAGCTCTTCAACGTTTGGTTAAATAAATGATCAATTTAGTACTAGTGCCGAGACTGGTCGTATCTACTAACCAATTAAACGGCTTGACTGGGAGTCTATAATTTGACTACTTTGATTTGTTCCCCTCCCCCTATTAACCCTCCGTATAACATTACCAGAGCTTGGTTAGTCCTTACGGTCACTCCTGGTTTGGTATTATTTAGAATTTTTCGTTTGAGGCGTCCTCCTTTTTCATTTGTTATGTTGATAAGGATCACTGTCTCCTTTATAATCCTTTACTAATTGCACTAATTAATATTAAACTAATTTCATTAATTGTACTAATTGTACTAATTGCACTAATGATGTCGTTGACATGATGTAGCACACGTGAACAACTCCTTCACTACATATAAATAGATTCCCCGTTATTATCCGGCTTCTATAAAGTGTAAAATATTTTGAAGATGGTATGAGATGTTTTAATCAAAATGATCGTCCTCATTATCTCGTACGCTACTATACAGGACAAGGTCGCGCCCTGTACTTATCATATACTATTTTAGTTCCTGGAACCAGATCAAATTAACTCAATTATCCCAAGATATACTCATATTTATAGCAGATATGTTCTTTAAATAAACTGAATTATCCCAAGATATACTCATATTTATAGCAGATATATTCCTTTATTTTAACTAATTCTCATAGTGTCTCTTTAGTAGTGCAATGTTAATTGCATGTGTCAGTTGTAGAGACCCACACCAGAACCAGCTGCTGTACTTAGCGGCCGTATTGTTTGCTGTGCACAGTTACAAATCTGTGTGTGTTAGGACCATGGCTGATTGCGTATTTTAGAGCATCTGTTCTTGATGAGGTGTGTTGTGTACTGTTAGGGATTGGTACCTGCTGCCATTAATATAAGGTCCACTTTTTTAAGAGTATTAGTTTTCTTGTGTGAAGCTTATCAGGCCATGGGTGAAGGTGATACCCTGCACTTGTGGTGCAGTCTTATTGACTGGACAATCCCTTCACGATTACAGATGTGGAGTGGGGAGGTGAAACATATTTTTGTAACAAGTGACAGCGATTAAACAATCAGCTTACACTGTTGACCAATAAAATCCCAGAGTAACTGTCACGTGTCACAAAAAAAGGTTTCATCTCCACACCAGTATCCATATCTCAGCCGTTTCAAGACCATTTTTGAAATTTTGATTCATTTTTTCCAAATATTGAAACCTAATCAGACCTTTATGAAAACAACAGTTGTTTAAATAAGGTTCCCAATTACATCTTCACAAGCTGAAGTAGCTTATACTTGTATATCGTTCCAATCTTAGGAAAACCTTCTAGAACCTTCTAGAACCATTCTGACAGTTATAATTAAGTATTAATTAATCAAATCAGTTATAATACTTAAACAAACTATAAACACTTAACAGCTAGCACGTACGTGCTCAACCAAATCAATTTGATTTGATATCCCATTTCCGATTTGTTTGCTTACTTGATGTCTGAACTCTCGATTAGAATTGATTTGGTGTAGTCACTGCATTGGCTTAATCAAACATTTGATACTTTTATAGATTTCACCGATTTCTTTGCTCTTTTGCCCGACCATCTTTCCCAGTAAGTTTGAAAAAAGGGCCGAACCTTAAATTTGATAAGAATTTGTAACTTCTTATATTAATCGAATATAAGTTTTTAGCTTCGCACACATACCATTTCATAGTCAAAAAGGAAAAAAACCTGTGAAGGTTATTATAGTCACGCTGCTATTGCATTCTAAACTATCCCCAATTCTCACGTTCTAGAGCTTCTGCAGGCTTCTGATAAGAAACCTGACGAAATCTCTGATTAATTGTAAACTATCTTACCATGCTGACGTAGCCGCCGGGTTACGGGTAGCCGTTATATATCGTGGTCCGATTGTTTCATTGCGTCTTAATATAAGGTAATATCATCATGGTAACATAACCATATAAAGATATACCTAAGGTATGTTTCCCTCTTACGTAGTCGTGCCCAGAGAGGCCTGATATATATCCACAGTACCCAGTCACGTACTTAGTCACGTACCACGTACCACGTACCACCCAGTATACCTCTATATGAACCTTATACCTAATGTCAATGTTATACTTCATGCTTCGTTTTCATCAGTAACACTTAATGTTGAATCTTACGACTCTTTCTCCGTCTTTAATATCATCATGTATTTGTTCATCATTAATTTGTATACTTAGACTATAATTCAAGCTTATTATTATTTGAGAAACATGCAGTATTTCATCTGTTCAGATGATGTCATGAGTGTCCTTTTTGCCTCTCTCGTCGAAGTCTTTTTAACAGCAATCTCCATCTTTGTTAAAGTTTAACCGAAACAATCACACCAAGTTAACACTGATAAGTGTGATAAACATCACGTCATTTGAGCGTCGCTGACGTCATAACCATGAAAATGTGGACTCCGCCCAAGTGCAAATTCCAATTACAAAAGTCTTGTGGAAAGGAGCATGAATCGTTTACCTCGATTCGCACTTTTCGCAAAATTTTGCCGCACTTACATGTTGTTTCTGCTTACTGGGCACTGTAAATTTAACTACCATCTTAACAAGTTTAAGATGGGCCGTTCCCCTGACTTCTGTAGGTCTATTTTACCCATATATAACAAGTTTAAGCCGACAACAATCCGGATTGTTGTCGGCTTAATGTTTTGGGGCCCCAAAACTTTTCCAGGCTGCCTCATGGAAGAAGAGATAATTAATAACTTTATTGGTCAATTCCCAAACGTGGAGGCTACTTTGACTCCTGTGGAAAATTCACCAACAAATGTGGAAAAAACTAAAAGTTCAACTTTTATATTCCACTTGCATAACTGAATATCATGTATGTAATGAATTATTCTATTAGAGACACTCCCCTTACTGCAAGGGGCTTTCAATCAAATCAAATCAAATCAAATCAAAATCATACCTGGAATACCCTTTATTTCGAACAGCTGTTAATATCAACAAGTGCTGTAATGCAGCACTGTTTGGGTTTTCTTTTGGCTCTCGTCCCCAGTCCGTGCCTGTCAACCCATTCTAAACTTAAACAGCAACTCTACGTCACCCTGACATCTTCTACTTTTATTTCACATTAACCTGTATGTTTTAACATTTTACCTTTCAAGGGTTCATTTTGAAACCTCATGTTGAGTAGAGACATGACGCAGGATGACGTCATACTTGGTATAAAATATCAGGGTATAATACCTTGATTAACAATCGGGTGAGCGATTGTCTGTACCGGCTCACTTATAATGCGGGGGACAGTTTAGTCGCATTTAGTCGCATTTAGTCGCATTGTTCAGATCCTGATTTTTTGCCTTGTATGGTCACTCAAACTTACCGGCTTGAAAATGAGGTTTAAAACTTGTTGAAGGCGATATTTTGATGCCATACAGTTTAAAAGACCTCACTTTGTTGGATTTCATTGTAATATTTTATCAGTTCGACTGTTCTCGTTTTAACTTTTGAAATGTTCATCAGTTGCTAGGTCCCCGTGTGTCAAGCTGGACAGTAGGGTGCACTATTTTCCTCCTCCGACATGTTTAACTGCCAGTTGTCACACTTCGTCTGTCACAATAGTCAGTTGTCACACTTCAAATGTCACAATAGTCAGTTGTCACACTTCAAATGTTACAATAGTCAGTTGTCACACTTCGTCTGTCACAATAGTCCGTTGTCACACTTCAAATGTCACAATAGTCAGTTGTCACACTTCGTCTGTCACAATAGTCAGTTGTCACACTTCAAATGTCACAATAGTCAGTTGTCACACTTCGTCTGTCACAATAGTCAGTTGTCACACTTCGTCTGTCACAATAGTCAGTTGTCACACTTCAAATGTTACAATAGTCAGTTGTCACACTTCAAATGTCACAATAGTCAGTTGTCACACTTCAAATGTCACAATAGTCAGTTGTCACACTTCAAATGTTACAATAGTCAGTTGTCACACTTCAAATGTTACAATGTGACTATCTGATATCTATCAGATCTATCTTTTAGCTTCGTGAATAATTCTCACAGCGGTATAAAGTCACGTTTGGATGCCATACATGAGTATATTCCCAGCCGTCCTGTTGGTGCTCTTTCTGGGGACACTTCTTCACGCCTGTCGTGTCTTTCGAAGTTTCGAGTTTACTAACCAGTAACCGCATATACGAGCAATTTGGCGTCCTTTTAGAAGTCACGGGTGCAGTTATCTTCTTCTTCTATTTTAACAGTTATCGATAAAGTTTCTGTTTCAAACTCTTGTGTGAAAATAAAGTTCTAAGCCGCTGTTTCCTTGGTGCTTCACAAGTTATAGTCTAATTTCCAGGCTGAACACTTCTGAGCTTCCCTCACACCGGTGCTATCCTGTGTTATTGAATTAGTACCCAGTAAGACTTGATTAGGAGGAAAAGTAGTATAGAATAAAGGATTATTGTTTATTGTTTGTCACACGGTGTTAAATATTCAAACTTTTGAAGATTCTGTGTTTCTTAAATTAGTACTTAATAAGAGTTGTTTTAGAGAGGATAGCTTTAAATATACTGTTATTAATGTTTAGATGCTCAAAGGTTTCTAGATTCCCATAATTTTGAGGTTGCTTGCAGTCGTAATTTTTCCCATGTTACAAACTGCATTTACCAAACGTTTTCCCTCATGAACGACTTACTATCATAGTTTCATTGTGCAGCTTGTAGGAAAATTAGTATTCGGTATTGAAATTGGAGGTTTGTTATATTATGTTGTAGTCGCCAGATTTGTATTTTATCGTTTTTGAAATCATAAAAGACACGTTTTGCTTTGTAAAACAGGGATTGGAATCATACCGATATCCTATAACTATAAGAATATACAATTTACGCTTAAATAATGGCTATTAATTTACTTAAATCTTCATTTAAGGTTTATTTCCGGTTATTTGTTAACCATTTAATAAAATATTTTGAGAAATAGGTTCCTGACGTAAGTAGCTACGTAAAGTAAAACTATTATACCTTTTAGATATAAGCTGGTTGGCTGCTTTATTCAAGCATTTAAGCTAATAAGGAATCAAAGTAATGCCAATACTTCCTTTTATTCGAATATTTAAGCGCTGCTGTAAATGATTTGTTATAAATCATATCATGACTGGGATATGCGAGTCACCAAAGGGCAAAGTCCGAGTCAAACTTTCTGAATAGCAACTCTCAACTTATTTTGTAGTTACTTGTTTGTTCCCTTCAAGTTCAATTGTTTTGTTTTAATCCCATTTATTATTTATATGAATATAAAGTTCTTAGCTGCTGTTTTCTTACTTGGCGATTCATACCTCTTCTATCTTCAGTGAAAATGTTATTCGTTGACTTTTTCATCATTGAAATGGTGGTTGTTATAGAAACGAGTAACCAATAAAAAGATAGATCATAGATGTCATAGTAACCAGTAATCACTAGAATGATGAGGGAACGCAAACTATCAGGCAGCTGCTGTGACAGAAACGATCTCATCGCCCAGATACGTAAGTATAATATCTCTATAGACCTGTTATTTGAGACGTGCTATCAGCTTATCTTATCTGGAAAGTGCTATCGTTCCGATAAGATTCCAACAATACACCTTGATCATACGATTACTTTCGACTGATACCGACGTAACTTCGGGGGCAGATGTCCAGTAACATGTACATTTCCACCAACTATACAACCCACTGATTTGATCGATTGTTTGCCCCTGCTTCCGTGTTGACGTATGGGTATACTAAAACTGTCTTTACCTTCTCTACTATTTCTTTAAAATCTGCTACAAAGTCTCAGGATAATGACGATATAGTCGGTTGTAAATCTTCTTACCGGCTCTCATCGTGTGTGTCATTGTCAGTTGGTCATGACAACTTGTTGAATATCCGGCAATTTTTTACTATTAATAGATTGATGAACAGATTTAGGAACTGTAAGGAAGCCTTACCACTTATATTGTTTTATCAAACTAAGTAATTTATTTATTACTTGATCAAATTTATTGAGAATTAAGGTTACAGTACTTGTAGTTGTTAACGGTCAACGACAAAGAAAAAAAGTGTACATTAATCTCAGTAAACTGTTTCGTTTGTGACACTTAAGCACAACTACATTATTATTTGTTACACGTTAATACAAGTACATTATTATTTGTTACACTTTAATACAACTATACATTATTATTTGTGACACTTTAATGCAAATACATTAGTATCTGTCACACTTGAATACAAATACAATAGCATCTGGAGGTCTCACGCTGTAAATCAATAAATTAACAATCATCACGTAAATTAACGCTAATTAACTATCACCAAGTATTTATTGTCGGCATCTTAGAAAATTAATGGAAATAGTCTCAGGACGAATCAGTTACGCTAAACCGCTACAGCGCTATTTTATACAACACATACGGTAACACACCGATTTACCAACAAATACCACGGCCCTTTATCTCCAAATAGACCTCAACACAGATAATATGACCAACTTTAAACCCCGATTTACCACGGGTATTTACCACGTGTTCAACTGCACGTGGGCAGTATAAAATACTAACGCTTCACCGTGTACCACACACACTGTAGTAAGTACTAAGAACATGTTCTCTACATTAAGCGCTCGGAGGAATAGTCTATTATAATTTTTACACTTTTGATGCTTCACTTTTGTTGAGAATCAGTAGCGTTATAGATTCGTCCGCGATTGTTTGAGTGAGAATAGTCCGGGTTGTTTGAGTGAGAATTGTCCGGGTTGTTTGAGTGAGAATAGTCCGGATTGTTTGAGTGAGAATAGTCCGGGTTGTTTGAGTGAGAATAGTCCGGGTTGTTTGAGTGAGAATATTCCGGGTTGTTTGAGTGAGAATAGTCCGGGTTGTTTGAGTGAGAATAGTCCGGGTTGTTTGAGTGAGAATAGTCCGGGTTGTTTGAGTGAGAATAGTTCGGGTTGTTTGAGTGAGAATAGTCCGGGTTGTTTGAGTGAGAATAGTCCGGGTTGTTTGAGTGAGAATAGTCCGGGTTGTTAGAGTGAGAGTAGTCCGGGTTGTTTGAGTGAGAATAGTCCGGGTTGTTAGAGTGAGAATAGTCCGGGTTGTTTGAGTGAGAATAGTCCGGGTTGTTTGAGTGAGAATAGTCCGGGTTGTTTGAGTGAGAATATTCCGGGTTGTTTGAGTGAGAATAGTCCGGGTTGTTTGAGTGAGAATAGTCCGGGTTGTTTGAGTGAGAATATTCCGGTTTTTGAGTGAGAATAGTCCGGGTTGTTTGAGTGAGAATAGTCCGGGTTGTTTGAGTGAGAATAGTCCGGGTTGTTTGAGTGAGAATAGTCCGGGTTGTTTGAGTGAGAATAGTCCGGGTTGTTTGAGTGAGAATAGTCCGGGTTGTTTGAGTGAGAATAGTCCGGGTTGTTTGAGTGAGAATAGTCCGGGTTGTTTGAGTGAGAATATTCCGGGTTGTTTGAGTGAGAATAGTCCGGGTTGTTTGAGTGAGAATATACCGGGTTGTTTGAGTGAGAATAGTCCGGTTTGTTTGAGTGAGAATAGTCCGGGTTGTTTGAGTGAGAATAGTCCGGGTTGTTTGAGTGAGAATAGTCCGGTTTGTTTGAGTGAGAATAGTCCGGGTTGTTTGAGTGAGAATATTCCGGGTTGTTTGAGTGAGAATAGTCCGGGTTGTTTGAGTGAGAATAGTCCGGGTTGTTTGAGTGAGAATAGTCCGGGTTGTTTGAGTGAGAATAGTCCGGGTTGTTTGAGTGAGAATAGTCCGGGTTGTTTGAGTGAGAATAGTCCGGGTTGTTTGAGTGAGAATAGTCCGGGTTGTTTGAGTGAGAATAGTCCGGGTTGTTTGAGTGAGAATATTCCGGTTTGTTTGAGTGAGAATAGTCCGGTTTGTTTGAGTGAGAAAAGTCCGGGTTGTTTGAGTGAGAAAAGTCCGGGTTGGTGACTGGGAAGTGGGAATACTTGTGTTTTATTTTGGTATAATTGGTATATCTGTAGATCTTCCAACGTATTGTAGAGATTCTTGTGCTGTTCTATTTGTTGTGATTTTACTTTATGTTGTATTAGGTTATTCGTCATTGTGGTGTGACAGTCAAGTTATTTGCAGTTTATATAGGTGGGATGTGGTAGCTATTTATATTGCGCTGTACCTTACGAGATATATTTAAAAGGTATAACGAAAATCGGTGGTTTTCCGAAAAAATCCCATATTTTTTCGTTCCCAAACATTTAGGTCATATCACCGGAATTTCGTCGAGTATAAATATGTCTCGTAAGGTAATACAGTATGCTGTATACCTATTACAGTATACTATACCTATTAGTATTACTTACTAATAGTTGTTATGTGTTATTTATGAAGTATCTATTACTTCTGATTTGCCAATAAACTATGTATTTCGATCTACTTATTATACCTTTCTGATTTACTTGTGTAAAAGATTAAGTAATTGTGCACTTGTGTTACTCTAACTTTAACGATTTACTTCCTTACTACTCTTGTATGTGATTTGATCGTTGTACGACTTTATATAACACATTATAACCGCAATGTTAGACTAAATTAAGTATTAACCTACGACATTCATGCGTTGGAACAATACGGCCTACGGGAGAGGAAACAAGTGAGGGAGGGGGGTTAATTTTCGTGCTCTATTCAGCTCAGCGGTGCAATTAAATAGTGGTGGGGGGGGCAAAAAAGCAACGAATATTTAGGCGGCAGAGACCTGATCTGTAGGGTTACGTCGCTGGTACAATTATCTATTTAAATATGTAGGTAGTCACTGCTGTGTCACTGCTGTAGTATCCGGATCTATACCTGCTACCTCTAAACATGCTCTTTACACTAGTTTAACACTACTTGTGTCCTTCTAACTCCTCTCTTTCTCTCTCTCTCTCTCTCTCTCTCTCTCTCTCTCTCTCTCTCTCTCTCTCTCTCTCTCTCTCTCTCTCTCTCTCTCTCTCTCTCTTTCTCCTACAGGTCACTCTACTTCCACCTCATTTCACGTATTGGACGTAATATTTGAATATATGTGTCTTCACCAAAATATCCTATATTCGGCCCTGTTAAAATCTCCACGTAAATGGCTGCTGCTCATTAATCCCAACCTCCATCCTAAATACAGCCTCATAAATACAGCAGCTGAACTAAATACAGTGCAGATCCTAGATACGTGTTTGTTATAGACTACATATAATGTTGCTGTTTCCTCTGTGTGTCTTCTGTTGTCACTCTTTAGTTGTTCTGTAGTTATAGTTCAAACTCTTAAAACTCTCTTTTGCTCCAAGATCATATAACACTAAATATTAAAGAATATTAAAGAGTCATATGAAGTATACCTTATCTGATGTAATTTGACCGGACATTTCGTGAACGGAAATACCTCCGAAAGCAAAGTCTGATAAAGAATAATATGCTCATTTGAAACACATATAAACATGTGCTCATATCTTCAGTCTTCACATAGCTAAACAAAAGTAACAGGAGGAAAAGGTCGTACCAATTCACCATGCGTACCGATCAGTGCTATTTACTATATATTATTACAACAAATACTATTTACTATGTACTATATAACTAAATATATATAACAATGATGTTACAGGAGGTACTATTTACATTTACAGCCATTGTAAAGATCAATTATCAATTGTATTTGTCGCATGGTAGCAGGGATGCTGTGTTCACTCGTTATTGTACAGTACAATTGTACTACAACAGTTTCAGTTGTTACTATTCATGTGTCACTTCTTTGTCACTGTTGTGTCACTGTTGTGTCACTGTTGTGTAACTTCTTTGTCATTGTTGTGTCACTGCTACAATACAATTGTTGATGAAACGGGACAGATTGCCACAAATCTCTTGCTTGTTCAGTTGTTTTTGTTAACAGGTTGTTTTTGTTAACAGGTTAATAATAATACTACGATTAAAAAACCGTAAAACCGTTAGTTTTCGCAGAGAATTTCCTTTTCGCGAATTGTTTAGGACCCGAAAATCCGTGAAAATATCTGGTTTCACAGTATTCAATACATCTTGATACTTCAGGAGCTGTTGAGCTGTTTAACAACCTACTGGAGTACTGGTACTGCACCAGTAGGTTGTTAAACAGCAGTCTAACAGAAGTGTACCCCGTCATCCCCTATCTTACACTCGTTAGACACTGAAGTACCTAGTTACATGTGACATGTACTGAAAGTTTCTTTAATAAACAAAGCCTCCCCACGGAAATGTTCCCCGCCCTTTAAACCAGTCCTTAAAACACACACACACACACAGAAAGAGGGACAGAGAGAGGTCCTCATAGGATCCTTTACATAGTCGCACTACTTATAGGTTCAGTATGCTACACACTTATTGTTTTCAGCTACAGCTGCAGAAACTGCTGTCGCATTTCTTTGTTTTTGTTTTCTCTTTCTTTCAGCTTTCTGATCTCGACATCTTGTATGCATGCATGTGTCGAAATGTCTGTTTGTTGATGAGAACTTCAAACAATTCAGCTGTTAGATAACTTA